TAGCCACTTAAGCCACAAGTGCCGAGCCTATTCAACAAATCTTGACTGAGTATTGCTAAAATCTTTTCTGGCAGAAGATACACATGAAATGAGTTTCGGCCCTTTAGGGGAATAATCTACCTGAGATTAGAGTACACATCTCAAGATAGCCTTGGTATTTTGGGGGATCTTGATCTTTCCTAGTCATACCTGGCCCTATAGGTAGGCCAACTGTCAGGAAATCTAAACACAGTCCTTGTTGTTCTCCCTGACCTTAGCTATCCTTGGGATTAAATTCCCACAAGAAGATCAACTTCAGAAGCTGCACATGTTTTGTTTGGCTCATACGATGTGATTAAAAAAAAAATACAAGCCCATATTTAACAATGGTAAGTATTCATCCAAAAAGTCTGGATTTGTGGCTCCTCTTGGAGCTCAGAAGATTGGACAAGCTGGGCCAGCATTCCCATATGGGGACTGGAGCTCAGAGGTGCAGCCATCTTTGGACAAGGCATGCCTTCCCCTATTTCCCATAGGCCCAGCTTCTTCAGTTCCCACTTGGCCTGCTCCTGCCTGGCCCCTGTAGGCAATGGACTTGAGATTCTTTTTTTTTTTTTTTTTAAAGACAGAGTTTCACTATGTTGCCTTGGTGTCACAAATCACAGCAATCTCAAATTCTTGGGCTTAAGTGATTCTCCTGCCTCAGCCTCCTAAGCAGCTGGGACCACAGGTGCCCACCACAATGCCCAGCTATTTTTTGGTTGCAGTTGTCATTGTTGTTTTTAGCTGGCCTGGGCCAGGCTCGAACCCACCAGCCTGGGTGTATGTGGCCGGCACACTACCCACAGAGCTACGGGTGCTGCCAAGATTCTACTTTTTTATACTTTTTTTTTTTTTTTTGAGATAGAGCCTCAAGTTCTTGGGTTCAAGTCATCCTCTTGCCTCAGCCTCCTGATTAGCTGGGACTATAGTGGACTTCAGATTCTGAGATAAATCCAGGAATCTCAAAACAGCCTTGAGGCTTTGGTGGTACTTGCTACTCCAGGTATGAGAAATGGAACCATTTCTCTAGGAATTCCTCCTTCTATATCCTGGGCCCTAGGAAAAAGTTTACAAGCTCCTTTCTCTTCTTCCTCTTCCTTGCCTAAGGAAGGGTCTTTTCCGTGCTAGCCTCACCTGCCCACTCCAGCATGTCTTCAATATTCTCTGCTGCCCCAGGCACAAGGCGGGTCTGATCTGTGTCCTCCAGCCTCAGGATGAAGCTTCCCTGGTGTTTCTTGGCAAAGATGTAGTTGTACAGGGCAGTGCGGAGGCCACCCAGATGTAAGAAGCCTAGTAGAAGAAGAGAACAGCTCAGACAAGAGGGAAGAAGATGACCTAACAGGCCTTTAATGAGGGGCAAATAAGATCTGCTCATAACTGAATGTCCCAACCAATTTCAAAGATCAAGAAACAGCTACCTCTGTCCCACCTCTTCGACCAGCATCCAGACTCATTTAATCCTCATCCTACAAGACCACCCAAGTTTTAGAGCATGTTATTTAGTAAAAAGGCACCAAATGTTGTATTTGCCTCAAGACCAAGTTTCACTTAGAGTAAGAGAAATAGAAGATTATTGATTGAAGCAATATTACACATGCATTTAACTTAAATTGAATGATGTGCTCTGGGGGGGAAAATTACAATTTCAAATTAAAAAGACTACAAAATCACATTTTGCATATGTACTCTATGAACTATACAATTTTGAACTTTGTATTTAAATTTTGTCTACTTGGGATTTTCACCTTATGTGCTGGCTTTATTATTATTATTTTTTAGGGGCCCAGGAGGGCAATATGCAGCCAAGAATGATCCTAGGCCGGCTCGGCGCCTGTGGCTCAACCGGCTAGGGCGCCAGCCACGTACACCT